CAAACAATTAAAACGACGACGCCGACGACGCTGGCCGATAAACAAGCCAAGATAAGTCAACGCCGCCAACGACGACCACACAGGTTCGAGGTTCCAGGTCCCAGGTCCCAGGTTCTCCCGGTTCGAGGTTCCTGGCCCCTGTTACCACTTTGCAGCATATGCTACACATTTGGCCAGCAGTTTTGTATTTTTTCACGTTTCTGTGTGCTACCAATAAATTTCCGAAATACCTTCTCCTACCTGGTCAAGCAATTTTTTCATTAGCGCGTTCAGCGTGGCGGAGCTCATTTCTAAGTAGCCATCAGAAAAGCAGAAAAAACACAAGAATGCAGAGGAGAGGAGTACTTGAAACAATTGGAAAATTTCAACAACTTTTTAGGGAACCGCCTTGGAAGATTAAAAAGGGGTAGTTATCTTTACTGGTTATCAGTTAAAGGAATAAAATTAAGTAAGGAGATAAAGTATAGTAAACGTGCTATTAAGCAAGTATCCTTATTTAACAGATATCATTACTTAAGATCCACTATTCACACATATACAAATTGTTAACTAAACAGATATTTCAACATTATCATGCAGTCTGCAATGTTTTTATTGTGTATTTTTGTAAAGGAATCCCATCTTGGTCAACTCGACAAAACTTTTGTAATCAACAAGAAGATCGCTTGGCTCGTTCCGTTCTCTTCTTAAGAGATCTGTAGATTCAAGTGTGTAAAACGAAGAAGAATTCCTATGTGCAATGGCTGACCGAATGGCTGTTGTTGCTGGACTTTTTAGAATTGCATTTTTATTGTCTGCTGCCACTTTGTTGTGTTACCAATGTTGGTGAGTGGCTGCTGCTGCTGTTGGCCCGGACTGCCCTGCACTTCTTGTTCTTGTGCCTTTTGTTGTTGTATAAATAAACCATATGGTTAAAAGCGTAGCAGAATAATTCTACGAGCCGTGCCAGCCTTTTTCTTACTTGGCTGCCCATCGTCATCGCTTCTTGTGTTTTTATACTTTTTATACTCTTTTCTTTTGTTGATGTTGTTGTTGTTTTTTGTTTTGTTTTGTAGCATTTGCTGGTGGCTCTGTTTTCCTTGGTGACTTGGCTGTTGGGCCTACCTTTTCCACATTCCCTCTAACTGTGCGCTGTTTTGTGTGGTTGGTATGATGGAGTTCTGGTTGAGTGCGTTTGTAAATGTTTTATCAAAATGTCTTGTGCCGTCCACAATTCCCATCCAGCTTGTTCTCGCACAATTTCCACTAGCTTTGGCTCTTTCCTGCTCCGTGTTACATTTAAACGTACCTCGCATCGCACGATCATTAACCGCAAAACATTATTGTGGCATGTTCGCTCGGTGGTTCTGCCTCAGTTTGCTGTTGCTTTCTACACTCGGAGAAAAGTGTCAACGAAATTGGCTACCACTATACATTTTATACAAGGAATTTGTGATACAGAAACCCCTATAAGCTATATTTTGTTTATATGAAAGGTGAAGTTATTTTTCCTCGTGTATGTGCCACCTTGTTTCACCTTTCCTTTTCCATTTGGCCTCCTCATTTTGTTGTTTGTTCAGCTTGGCTTGGCGATTCTTGGAATTGGATCCGCAAAAATATGTTGCACAACGCCAAATGGTCAAAATTGCAGGGCCTTAATCTCCTCCTCCAGCTCATGCTCATGTGCCTCATGCTTCCCCCGCTCCTCTGGATTCTTTCCCCTCTCGGTTGGGAATCTCGGTGACCTCTGCGATGGCGCCATTTGGGAGGTGGCACTGTCACAAGAAGAGGCTATATCCAAACTATATATATGTATGTAGATGCTGTTGCCAAGTCAACAATTTCCCAGACAGCCAGCAGACACAAAAAAAGGGCAGCATCAATGAAAGCGACGCCGGCAAAAGCGCGCACACAGTGCTATTGATAGAGATACAGACACATCTGTAGACATATAGCTATAGATATAGCTATAGAGATGCATAGATACATCCGTGTGCCATCGTCGGCTCCCTCTGATTTCCTATTATTTTTTCTTTTTTGTTATATTTATTTTTTTGTTTTTGTCTGTCGCTCTCTCAAATCGATCGATTTCATGCGCTGCGACAAGCCGTAAATCACACGCCAGACCCGACACCCGACCGCCTGCAGTATCCAGCAGATACATTGCGTATCTTTCGGTTTTCTCTCCCTTTTCCGCGCTCCATTTCAATTCGATTTCATGGCGCTTTATTTACGCACTGCAAATCAAAGACGAAGCAACTAATTACTGAATTAAAAGCCCATTAAACGTGTCCATAAACTTGAAGTTTCTGTTGAGCCCACTGTGAAAATGCATCTTAATTGTTCAATGGTCTGTAAATCACTTTGGAAAGTGTGTAGAACAGGATTAAATAATTGATAGTTGTGGGAAAAATAGGAATTCAAATGAAGCATTTAAAACAAAGAGTGTCTGTGGAGCTATATATATGTTTTGGTGTTTTTTAAGTGCTTAATAACAAGGCTTACCATGGCCATCGATTAAATGGACAACTCCTCCAGATACTTCATTGCCTCAAAACTACCCACATGCAATTGCAACCTGCAGATGCTCGACTTATCTCTCAGATGGTCCCATTTAAGCTCGGCACATTCCAGGAACCATATCGTTTAATGAACGAATGCTGCAAACGGGTGAATGTGAATGTCCAGCGAAGAGTATCATTAAAGCCGAAGAGCGTCCAGTCCAGGAGGAGACGCCGCAACAGCAGGGCATTTAATCACAGGCCTCGCAGACCCGGCTTCGCTGGGATATGTTTCAATAAATTCCAGCAAATCAAAACATACAAAACATATTCGAGGGGCTGTATATAGAGAAGAACTGGGAACTGGTAACCAAGGGAGATCCGAGATGCTCGAGATCCGAGACCTGGGCGCACGCGTAATGGATAATGAATGCGCGAATGCCTCGCGGCGGCATCCACATAAGTCAATGCAACCGCCGCTTCTTGTGGTCAGCGATCTGATTCTGATTCTTATTCCAATTCTGCTGGACGGATGGGTTGGCAGCCTTGCCCTAAGCACAAAGGAGCTTCAAGAATCAGCCAGAGGAGGTTGAGCAAAAAAAGAAAATATACTCGTACTCCGATTTGGTTCATAAAGCAAAAAACTAAGACAGAGAGAATTACATGAATGAAAGATTTAGCAAGACAAATTAGCTTTTGAAATACTCTTCTGGGAATTTAATTTAGATAGCAAAAGAATTGAAATTGAAATCAATAATTTCAAAAGTTAGCAGTAAATTGTTTTAAATTCCTATATTTTCTATAGGTTTTACTATTGAAATTTCTACTAGATAAATCCCTATAGATCCATGAAAATATTCATAAATTTTCCCCTAGTTCTGCCTGTTGCTTGGTCCATTACAAATCTCTTCTAGATTTGTGGTTACTTTTTCTTCGGGAGCAGGGCATCGAGCAGAGCTACTGGACTCATGAGGGGGGATGAGTGATCCGGAGAGCTACAGCAACAGCCGCCAAACATTGGAAAACATCTGCTGTTTCCACTGCCAGTTGATGAACTCGATTCCACTCGCTAGCTCGCTCGCACAGCCAGCCATCTCACTCACTCCCGCTTGAGCCGAGCATGGCTTCTCTCGTTCGCGCGTCTGTTGCGCCTGCGCACAAGTACACAAGCCACTACAGCTACAACTACAACTGCAACTACAACTGCTGACATACAGTTGCGGTCAAGGAATTAAGAATAACACTCTTAATTTTTGGTGAAATTGGGAAATTTGGATTAAAAACCATTTAATGTCAAATTTTCTTACTTATGGCACCATGAACTATTATAATTTATAGGAAAATTTAAGAAATATATGTGTATATATAAAAATATATATTAACACCTTTAGAAGCAAATGTACAGTCCTCTCACTGGAAGATCGGAAAGTTTCTATTTGTGTTTGAATTGTTTTAAATTATAAAGAACAATAGATCTGTAAGCTGGTAACTTTTTTTCTTTTTAAAACGAAATGCAGCTTAGATCAACTAAATTTAAGAAAAACCACAGAGCTGAAGGAGAACTCTAGATCTGTATGCTGGTGACCTTTTGAAAATATTTGGGGTTTTAAAGGATATTTTGTTAAACAAATTTCTTGCTCAGACCAACTTTATTTCAGCATAAACCGTATTGCAAAGAGAGAACTCTAGATCTGTGAGCTGGTGACCGTTTGTAAATACATTAATTATTTTTTTTTAACTTTTTTAAAACAAAAAAATGCTAAATGCTGCCCATAGTCTTACGTTTATACATTATTACTCAAACCGACTGGCACTTCCACAGTGGGCCTCCTCAGTGTTCCCTTCTCGATCTTGGTGCTCAGTGCTCTGTGCTTGGTTCTCCATTCTCCATTCTCGATTCTCGGTCGTCTTCAATGTTTTTCCATTTATAATTCTCATGCCTCGCTGCTGCAATGCATTTTCAGCCCTCTTCTGGTGCCCATCTCGCTTACTCTCCTCGTTCTGTGTCTTTTTAATTTGGTTCACAAAATACCTCGCGTTGTTGTTGAAATTCTTTGGCAATCGCTCCCTCGTTCCCTCGCCCGGCTTTTGTCTGGCAGTCGCTCGATTTTTGACAGGTGGTGGAGTTTTGTATTCAATTTCTTCTCCGGGTCTCGGGCCTCCGTCTTGGAGCGACTTTTGCTCTTGGGTTCGTTTTCGTTTTCGGCTGTGGCTTCGAGTATGAGTGTGAGTGTGAGTGTGAGTATGGGTATGAGTCTGAGTCTGAGTCTGGGTCTGAGTTTTTGGGCTCTCAGCTTATTCTTATTTTTTTCGGAATGTATTTTTGCCTATTCATAAAAATGAAAATGAGTTGGGACAGGAGCAGGAGCAGACAAAAGGCGGCCAGACATATGGAGAGCTGGCTGCAAGGATGCTGAAAGGATGGGATGCGATGATGATGCTTCAGTTCAATGCACTTTATGAAATTAGTTTTTGTGTGTGTACTAATTGGATTCTTCTTCTCCTTTTGCTTTATTACAGGATGCGGGCTTAGAGGAGGAATCGAGACTGGAACGTACAGAGGCAGCCATGTCCCAGCAAGTGTTCTCGGCGCATCCAGCGCTGGCTGTGGAGCAGCTGCAGCAGGCGGCGGAGCACGACCAGGAGCACAGCACTAGCAGTAATCATCACCAGCAGCGATTCGCCACGCAAAGCAGACGGCACACCAAGGCCACACCCAACAAGTTTACACTGAGTAGGAGTTGTGCCGGCGGAGGAGGAGCCCTGAGCCGAGTCCACCAGCAAATCACACCTAGTTCATCCAATCCCGCCATCAGTCCGGAGTCCAGGAAACCCCTGCCCGCGCGAACCAACTATGCAGCGGTGGACGATGACGATGACATCGAGTGCGAGGATGTGGACGAGGTGAACTTTGGCCACCCGGAGAGGGAGACGACAACAACGGAAAAGGATGCAGCGATCCGGCAACAACCAACCAAAGACTGTGGCGCCGACGAGACAGATCACGTGCAACAGCGCCACAAAAGCACGGCGACGAGCAGGCACCACCAAGACGGAGGCGGTGGCGACCAGAGCGATCTGAGCAGCGTGATCAGCTCGCCCTCGGTCAGTACTGTATCCTCGCCCCTGTCGACGCCAACTAGGCTGCCACAGCCGCTCCAGCAGCAGCAGCAGCAGCTCCATTGTTGCCAGAAATCGAGCGGCGGCATCGGTGGCATCAGCGGCGGCGGAGAGTCTCGGGCGAGAACATCTCCGCAACAATCCCAGCATCCGCACAGGCATCACCACCAGCAGCATCATCATCATCACCACCATCATCATCTCACGGCAGCGGGCTGTGCGGGGGAGGTGGCTCCGGCTCCGGCACCGGCACCGGCTCTGGTGGATCTGGATCTGGATCGGCATCCTGCAAGGCCAAGAAGCTCGATCCGCGACTGAATCCCTCGCCCTATCGCCAGCTATTGCCCATTGCCCTGTGCCTGCTCTCGTTTGCGACCGTCTTTGCCACGTTAATTGTTTACATGGACACGACAGGTGAGTCTTTCTTCTTTCACATAGGAAAGGACACCCCCTATCCCAATGCTTAAATTTGATATCTTTGGCATATGTCTCATCTGTTTTTATTTATTTTATTTATTTTTTTTTTTGTGCTGGCTTCTCAAATACAATTTTTTTCGAGCGGAGGCTTCTTCGTCTTCCACCGGATGTAGGCTGTGTTTGCCTTCCTTTTTGTTCTTAGGGCTTAGGTCCCTTCCCGGTAATGGGCACACTTTTGAGATTAGTTTACGCGTCATCTAAACTGGCCAGTCCGATGTCTGTCCGTCTCCAGCGCATCTTTTGTCATAGATCGCTGTTTCTTCCTTTTTTTTGCTCTTAAATATGAGTGTGCTTTGTGGAGGTATTATTTATTATTTTTTACTTTGCCAATATGTTTTTGGCGTGGGCGTGTGTGCAGCGTTGTTGTCTGGCGCAGTGGCGCTTCCTGTCAGCGGCAGCAACAGCACTTGGCAACAGGCAACATATAGCAGCTGTCGCCGTTTGTTTTTGTGTTTGTGTTGCCACTGCCACTGCCGTTGTCATTGCCCCAAAACGTTGCCACCGGACACGTGCTGCCCCATTCCCGAACCACCAATTCAAAGACAGCCGCCTCAAACGTCACGGGAATATCTAATTGCCATTCGTAAGAGCCATACTTACCAACGTTTGAAGAGCCATTACAGCTAGTTAGGCAGGCTGGAAAAGCGAAAACTAGTAGGTGTTTGAAGGTAACAAACTAGAAATTATTGAGAAAGCTCTAGGAGAAGTTTCAGACAGTTTCTTTGATGGAAATTATAAGAAACTGAGACAAAAAAACTTATAAAATGTTAAGCCGATTGCCTTGTCTAAAAAGATATATCATAAATAAATATTTAGTAAAGAATACAAGTATATCTTGTTGTTTCCGATAACAAAAGCTATTTAAAAATTATTCGCAAGCTATCTAAAGCCATCTTTACAGTTTTGATGATAAGAGAAAAGTATATATTCTACTGGAATTCATAGACTCTCTGTAAATGCACAACCTTTCCTTGAATTATATAGATCCCTTACATGACTCACTCGGATTTGATCAGAGCAACTATATAGCTCAAGTTAGCTTTGCCATCTATCCCCATTATATTTGCTGTCGGATGAGGCAATTTCTTTTAATTCGCTAAAATATTTTGTTTATTGCACAGAGCGACAATGTCGCCGAGACCAAGTTATTACATCCCACAGCCCACGAATGGAGGATGCGAGAGATCTCATGGCTTTTCTAGTACAGAAAGTACAGATAAATTTGCTTAATTTGTATTGCCTTCGCTCAATGAAAGCGGAAAGTATCTTACAAGCGAAATTGTTTTGCATATGATGTGAGCTCGTTGACGGATCGCAGCGGTGGCGCCGTCTCCGTCGGTGTATTATTGAGTGACTCAGATATACCGGAGACCGGAGAGTGACTAAGGGCCAACAGAAGGTACTAAGAGTAAACACACAGACCAGAACAGACCCGAAAAAAATAAAGAAATCAATGTCAGTCCATTGTTTTTGCAGCTGTAAAAATTCCACATCAACTTCTTCTAGAGAAACATTTTAAAATTCCACTCGGGTGTTGGCAATTTTCGCTTGTCCTTTTTTTTGTCCTAAGGTTCACTTCCTTTTGCCTGAAGACTTCTTCCGCAGCGCCAACAGTTTTCTTCCTATCCTTATTTCTTGTTTTTATGCAAATTGTTTTGGAGAATGGAAATTTAACAGCGTCATTCGACAGCTGATTGGGTGCAAGTAATCAGTATTTGATTTGCATTTCTTGTATTGTATTGTTTTGAAAATTATCAAAGATATAAATGAAAATAATATTTCTTTGAACTCTGGTAACAAATTTGTAACCAACAAATTGTAATTAAATTCGCTGCTTGACTCCTACCTTATTGATTTCTTGTTTCTCCCTCTCTCGAGGTTTATTGCCATAAAAATGGTTTAAAATCGAAATGATGATTGCCGCTGATTTCAGGCCATAAATTTGTCATTTCATGTGCTCAGTTGAGTGCCCGAAGGGGTTATATATCAACCTCTTATTGACTGTAATATCCGATTCTTTTGTTTTTCGTCGCCACGTTGCCTAGACGGGGCTTTGGGTTTCTTTTTTTGAGTCGATTCGAATGGGACTCGAACTCTAAGAAGGTCTGAATCGAACATCTCTCAGTTGGAGCTGCCACTGGAGGTGGCAGTGGCCAGTTGGGCGTGTCACTTGCCGGACAGCCCCATTTTTATGGCCCATTGATGGCTCTATTAGGTTTATACGAGCGAACGGATTCATAAACAAAAATAATCATAAATTAGGCATTCCTTTTTCTTATTCCACCAACAAAGGCAAGGCATATAAATTGAACACGTTCCGTTTTGGGGGCACAAAGGTTGGTTGGATGGTTGAGTTTGTGGTGTTTGTAAATTTCTTCAAATCATGCACTTGACACCGAACCAAAGGGAACCGAAATGCGCTTATTAAAATGACAAATTTTGTTCAGAATTTTCGGTGTGGAATGTGTGTCGGCTACCTCGAACCTATTTCCTCTCGACCTGGTAAACCTCTGGCCATGACTCTCAAGATTCCAAATACCAAATTCCAAGTCTCACAATCATTTTGTGCTGGCCTACGCGGTTCTTGTTACAAATTCTACCGCGGCCAATGTCGATGCTTCGTTTCGTTTTCCATTTCTTTAGTTTCTTTCATTTCTCATGACGATGACGATGATAATAATGATGATAGTGGCGGCGTTGATGGTGCCCCACAATCAAATCCCCGGGTTTGTTGTAACAGTCACGTTCCAGACTTGATTGTTGCAATGACCGAAGCACTTCTGAGCCACATTCTCCAGGGAGAGATGAGAGTTGGGAAATTGCATTTGAAGTTTGGCGGCATTTCGTAAACCAGATTTTTAAGTAATTGCAGATGGGGAGAATGTTATAATCCTTTCTCTGGGAAAATGCACCTCGCAAAGGATCAGGTAAAATCATAGAAAACTAGAAAAAACACGTAATAAGAGATAACTATGGGGATGATTATAATAACTAACAATATTGCTTTATTTATATACAATTTTATTTAAACGTTTTTCTATAATTATATAGAAAGAATTTACATTTAACAAAGAATTAGAATTTTACTAGTCTCTCCAATCAGTTTAATGATTAGGTTTTGGGTCTTTGTAGACTAGTTTCCTTAATGGGGTTAAATGTTTAATTACTGGTTACCTTGTTTAACAATAAATCAATACCAATTTCCTTTCTTTCATTCTTTCTTTCTGGTTTCCTCAAAACCACCTTTAAACGCCATTGATACAGCGAGTTTATTGAACTTTGATTTTACTACCACAGATTAGCCATTTCAAAGTTTTACGATTTTTAGCTACTTGCCAAATTGGTTAAAAAAGTCATAAACTTTGAAAACGGGTTCTTACAAAAATAATATAAAATGGTTTAAGCAGATTCCATAAAGCTATCTTTATTGCTTGTTGTGACACGTGTCTAACCTCAATCACCAAATTCTGATTGATCCGCCTAATTTTCCTTGCGACATTTTGTGTCATAATCCAAACATAGCCTACTTATCGACGCCCCGTGATTACTTAGTCATCGATTAGCTGGCTTTCATTGTTTTTCTGTTCACCTAACTGGTGACTTTTAAAGGGTAACTAGTAACGGGTAACTAATGTTGCCATCCTTGCACGCCATGCCACGCCTTTTTGGGTCGATGTTGCCGCACTTTGCCTTTTGTGTTAATAAATCGGTGGAAGGGTGTGCAGGGTGCAGGTGCAGTGTCATTAGCCTTACCTTTGACAGTATATCGAAAATCGTATTAACCCACATGTGGAATTGGTGCGCACTATAAAAAATTAATTGAAATACAAATTTACATCCCTTGAGAGAGTAAAAATGAAGAAAGAAGTTTAAGTTTATGCATCATCATCGAAGGTCTTCAATAAACAGCTGCCGATTAGATCCTAAAAATCAGTTAATCCGTGTCACAGAATTCCGACTTGGGAATTTCTAGTAAGCCTTAATTTATCGAATGGCTGAGGAATAAATGGTAAAGGTATGAAAAAAATTGGGTACTTCTTTCAATTACCTTCACTTACTCGGTGAATAAGTTTCCTAGTTTATTACAAATTGTAATATTGAAAGACTCTTAACTAAAACAATATACTATCTAGTTTTCATTACCCTTCTTTTCTCTCTCTGCTTAATCACCTTGATTGCATTTCGTATTGAACACGCCCTCTAAAAAGGTCAAAGCATTAATCATGTTAAGACGGCATTATCTTCACACTTGCGGTGATTACACGATGTCATCGTCACTGTCTGCCTTCTGCTCTCCATTGGTGACAATTTGCAAATTGCAACTTTAATTGAAACTTGCAACTTGAACTCCACTGCACACAGACACAGACATAGACACACACACACATGAAACACTACCACTAATGACTTAATTCCCGTTAAGCACGCAGCTAGTTTTAGAGGGAGGTTTTTGTTTTTGTCTGGCAGATTATAAACGGTTTTAACTACTTTACACTTGGATAAAATAACTGCAAATATCACTATCAAACTATCAGAATTTTGAAACCTTCTTTAGATTAGCATTTCTTTTTTATAAAATAATAATGTCTTTCCAGACTTTGTTTTAGAAAAGTCTTCTTGTTGCTTTTAATTAGCATATTTTCCTAAAATTTTCTTTTAACCACTCCTGCTAGTTTTCTCCATGTGCAGTGATAACCTCCCCTGACAGCCACCGGATGTCATTCAGAGCGATACTCCTCCTCCTCCTGCTCCTTCTCCTATAAATCCGCCCCCGCCGCTTGGTTTTGCCTTGTGATTCATAATTTTCGTGTGCAGCCAGTTTGTGCCAACATTGTTGCATGGCCTGGTGTGGCCCCCAATGGAATCGGTGGAATATTAGTGAAGAAAATCCACCCCCGCAGCGAAGTCTTCGTCGTCGTCTGGACTGTGTGTCATGGTCGGAGTGTGTGTGTGTGTGTGTGGTGGCACAAGTGGTGGCTTGATGGCTGTGCTCGTGGCTCCGCCGGAGATGATGATCAGCACGTCAAAAGCGCAGCGAGTGCTCAATTTGAAAAGCAAAGCTCAAATGGCATTATCACAGCATGCGCCATGACTGTATACTCATTTTTCTTGGGGTTTTCCCCTTCGCCTTAGTGTGTGTGTGCCACTAACCACCCGCATGTGGGTCTCGGGTTTTGCTTTCTGCTCTTTTTTGCAACCCTCCTTGTGGTAAATTGCAATTGCGCCATTTCTTACCGCGTCGTGTGTGGTTCTCCTCCTGGTTTGGAAAAATTACCCAGCGATAAGGTTAATACTCAAGTCGTTGTGTGTGTGTGTGTGTCTGCTTTATCAGGATTTTGGCTGAGAGATATTTCAATCAGGGTTGATAAATGGTCGAGGAGCGTTTAACACATTAAAACGGGGTCATTTATTATGCTAAAGGTTTCTTCGGCAATGTGGCAGAAGGGGTCATATATTACGTTATGTTGAGTGCTCTGACGCCATTAATCTTGCTACATAATTGAGGCACTTTTGAGAGCTCGAGTGCCTAAATTTATGGTCAACACCTTTTTTATATTTCGTTTATTACTAATTCGTATGAGAGTTATGATTTATCTGTTTTTGGTTTCATAAAAGTAGTTGCCTAATAAATTATAAAGCACTTAGTCGATTAATATGTTATATCCGAGGGTAAAGAATGGTATAATACAATATCATATGATTTTAGACTTTACTAAAAAAGTATTTCGAAAGAATGTTTTTTGAAGTTTACAGTTTAATTATCAGAAACCTTTACTTTTGTGTGGGAAGCCAAAACATTCTACAAATGTACATCAGTTTTTCTTTAATTTTTCTGCTTTATTCTGCTGTATTCTATTTTTCCACTTGGCCCAATTCTCCTCCCCTTTTTTGAGTGCATTTCACACCTGATCACGTGATGCAAAAGTTTGCCCTGTATTGGCCTTTTTGCACTTCGCAGCAGTTAAATGGGCTTTGCAAGCAGGTGATTAAGATTCGACCCACTTAGATTAGGCCCCTTACTCACACTCACACTCACACCTGCACACCCGCACTCACTTGCGAAATAAATCAGAGCCTTTGTGGCTTATTCTGTTGGCACATGCAAGACCTGGTACCAATAATGTGCAGGGAACATTCATTGTTATCAGCATGGAAACAGGCCATTTTGAATAGCGACAAACAGGCAATTACAAGCGAATCCGATTCGAACTGAACGGGAAATCGTTGCACAAATCAATAACTGAACTAGGCGAGGAAACCCCTCGGTTGGACACGCAACTCCAGATCCTGATATTACACAACAAGGGTAACATTGCCCAACGAGGACAACAGCAACGTCGCATTGCCCTCAAAAAACTAAACAAAACAAAAGTAAATAAACAGCAACGATAAAGTTTTTTGGTATTTCTATGGGAGTACACTTAAACTTAACAGTGGGTGAAATTTGGAAAGGAAATTTAATTATTAATTCCCCAGAAATTACTTGAAAAGTTGTTTTACAAAAGTGCATATCTGCATTGGCTTTGTATCTATTCTTAAAAGTATCAAGGACAAATTAAACCTATTATATATTTATAATATACACATAATACTCTAATTTATTCTTACGTTTTAACAAATATTTTATTGTGACAGTTTAGCTCATAGATTCAAAGATACAATACGCATTTACAAATATTCTATTGTTTAGAAATTTCTTTCTGTCTTTTACAAACTTTTACAAGTAATTGAAATGCATAAAAGTTGTGGGTTTTCCATTGCTCTCCCCACTCTCTCCTTGGACTCTTTATATGTTGGCCCAGCCTTTGTTGAATTATTGAATAGGGCGTATGTATATATGCAATGTTCAGGGCGAGTTGGACTTGTGCTACCCCTGAGTAATCTGAATAAGAGGCCGCCTCGGGACTTTGGTGGACGAGTTGCCAAAACGACTTAAAGTTTGCCGCCGCTTAACCGCAATTAAACGTTCCTTTTTTTCTTGGGTAATGTCTGCCGCCATTGAATATAATTTTCGGGCTCCAGCCGGAGACCAGAGCCTTGAGCCTTGAGTCGTGAGCCTGCCCCTGTCATTTGTCTTGCCCACCCCGAAATTGAACCAAAGGACGACGGAGGACGTACGACCCCTTGTGCAAATTAGAAATGTCAGCTTTTGACATCGAAATTGCTGCGCCCGAGGGCAGATTTAAAGCATTCTTTTCATTCGCATGTATTTTTATTTTCATTTTCATTTTGGGGGTTTATTTATCGGATTTACATGTGTTCGAATTTAACGGTTTAAGCGGTTTTATTGCCCAGCTGTCGGAGGCACACGATCATTATGATGCCATGGATCCCCTCACAGAGCAGAGGGTTTCATTTTCCACTCGGATTGTATGCTGGTAGACAAATGATAAAGTAATTCATTTAACTTCTAATCGGAGGATGTAATGCGAGACTCCAGCGAACATTAATCCATTGCTATCAGATTTCCACAACTAATGGCTGCATAAATTTTCGAAAACCCAAGGCGGCACTTTCCCTACTCCAAGATCGGGGTTTCTGCTTTGGGCGTTAATTAGTGCAAGTTTTCACTTGGCCACCAGTCACCCCGTCTGGGAAATTAGAGAAAAATGTCTCCGTTCAGCGAAATTATAGTTGTTGTCTATAATGGCCGACTCTGTTTTTGCCATGGCTCTCTGCCTTCCATCAGTTTGGTTGCTGTATATGCATTATAATCATAAACTTTATGGCCATTTTGTGACCGAAACATAAAAGTTTTAGCTGGGTTTTTGTTGCCTCAAAATTTGCATGGCACATTTGCGTTGAATGGACACAGAAAAATAATAATAATAAAATATAAAATACTTGTATATATGTATATTCCTACGACTTGCTTTTGGGCGAGGCGGCCATAACGATGTGAATTTGTTTAACGAACCAAAGAGGTAGGAATAATGACGTATAAGTAGCTGAAATATAAGATCGATTTGACTGAATGGATGCCACGCTTTTAGCCCACAACATCTTTTCTTATTTACTTACTCGTCTTGAGTTCATAATTTAAATTTGTGTGGATTTAAGGAATTATTCTTATGGTTTTATTTACTTTGTGGAATTAAATTGAAGCACTTATTGCACAAACTTTAACCTTTAACCTCTTAGAACATCCGAAAACCCACGTATGGGTTTTTTATTATCAAACCTTGGCATTTGTGGAAACCCTTACTTTAGTCTTGAGCTGACAACAAGTACATTTGAGATATATATTTTAATTTCTTTCGGCTTTTACGATTTGTTTCGCCAGAGGCCAGGTAAAACGAAACAAAAAGTGGAAATTGGCACAAGGAAAGTGTGAAAAGCAAATAAAACACAAATGTGGCGACTAAAAACAAAACTACGGCCAATCGTTGGCTTTTTGTTGCTAAGGTTTATGGACAGGTTGGGCCGGGTCGGCTTTTGCCATGAGTCAAGTGGTGATGGAGACGGTGACTTCAGGGGAGGAGGAGGAGGAGGATTCTCGTATGATGGGGTCATGTGCTAAATATCAAAGGCCGTGCGCTCATTATATTTTATGGGCCGGCACAGAGCGGCCAAGAGCCGAAGCCCAATCCGATTTCGAGTCGAGCCGCCGCTTTCGTGGCGAGGTCATCGTCGGCTGTTTCCACCGCCCGACCTTCTGCGGGGTCTCCTGTTTTTCCTTTTTTTTTTCACTTTTCCCATTTCCACTTTCACCTGCAACAATTTATGCCAAACTGTCATGGCATTTTGCCTAAATTTGGCTAAATACTTTATGGCCTTGACTTAAGTGTTGTAACTATTCCCAATGAAGGATAAATTAAAGTCAAATTGATATTATATCAATTAGTTATTTGATTTAAATATTACAACAATTTAAAACAGAGTTTTTGCCAACTCTAGACAAGTAAACCAGGCTTTTTACAAGGTTACTACAAGGAACGCTCTTTAGCAAACTTCAATATAAATATTTCCCAATTGGATATTTTAAATAATTGCTTCTAATTAAGAAGAATAAGAATATTCAGCACCAAGGAAAATGTTAAAGAATTGCAAACACAAAACCCTAGATCCACTGCCCAGCAGTTTCCTCCATTTAAAGCGCACCCAATTGCCAATGCAAATGTGGTCAATGCGCTCCAATTGGCAGCAGAGCGTGGCAGAGTTGGAGCCACACACGCCATGCTTCCAGTGGTGCAACAACTTTTAATTAAATCCAATTACCGCCACTACACCGACTCTCAACTAATTCATCTTTCGATTTTTCGCCATTCCAGAGATCCGCCATCAACAGTTTCGCCTGAATATGTCGCGCGACTACGAGCTGTATGGGGTTGCGCAAGACGACCCAAGACTCATTGAATTCCTGCGCCAGATCCACATGGGCAAGTACCTGGGCAAGGCGTCGCCCAAGGTCGCTGCGGCGGCGGCAGCAGTGGGTGTGGGTGGGTCGCCGCTATCCAACTCCCCGAAAGTGGCTGCCGGCAACAGCAGCGGCAGTGGAGCCGATCAGCTGGCCCACTATGTGGCCGATCTGGTTGGCGGGAAGATGAACGGCGCTGTGATCCAGTCGCTGAGTGGTCCGCTAGCCCACCTGATCACGGCGCCCTGGCTGAGCGAGCATCTCGATTGGATGGGCGTGCTGGTGGAGCCGGAGCCTCGCTGGTACTTTACGTTGCGCAAGCAGAACGCCCAGCGAGCGCGCATGCAGGTGGTGCACGCCTGCGTCTCACCCAACACCTATCCCAAAGAGGTAAGTCCATCAGATATTTCCCAGTTACTCTTCAAGATCAGTAACTCATTCTCCTCTTATTTCATTCACAGATTACCATACACAACGAGGATGTGCGCATCAATAGTCTGCACGACGAGGAGACCTCGTGGTTCAATTCGCGTGTGAAATGCTTTCCGCTCTACACTATCATGCTGGCATGTGAGCGCACCGAATACGATCTGCTCAGTCTGGGCGTGCAGGGGCATGAGCTGGAGGTGAGTGGCCACCTGAACTCTAGTTAACACTTTTGCTAATGTTTTTCATTTGCAGATCTTGCAGACGTTGCCCTTCGACAAAGTCAAAATCGATGTGATATCGATACATTTGCTCGAGGATCACGAGGACGTGCACGACTACGTGCTGGACATCACCCGTTTCCTGGCGGGCAAGTCCTACAAGTTGCAGCGCAAGATCGGTCGGAACTATTTCTATCAGCGGCTCAATGCCAGTGCCAGTCGCACGCGCAAGAAAGACATCCTCCTGCTGAAGACGCCGTAGGCTCCACATCCACAACGAACGATCGAAGGATCAACAGCACGACAACGTTAACTGTTAGCCACAAAAAATAAGTAATATTCGATAGAAAGTTACTGAAGAGACCCATAATAAATTTGGCAACGAGAGAGATAGAGAGAGAGAGACACTAGCAGATGCTCTCACAAACTGAACTCTATGTTATAATGATAATTATTACCATACATACGCTACACACTAACGATATCGTTTATATATATATATATATAAATATACTGTGTACCGATTACGATATATATATTGTACGAGTAGATTCATAGTTTTTGTAAAACTCAAATCTCTTCTTTTCCCCACTATACCTTCTTCATGTTATTATTTCCATTTATTTTTGTCCAAAATTGTTTTTTGTGCGTTTAGAAGCATAATTATTGTGTTGAATACAAACACAGATTACTATTAATAAATATATGCATATATATATATCGTATTATGATTTGCTATAAGCTATGCTAATTGAATGTTAGTCCATAAGAGAGCGCCCCCCTTTCGATGTATAAATTAAATTGCAACCGGCGCGGCGAACGAGAAATAATTGTAACTTCTCTGCTATTAGGCTTAGGTCAGCTATCCATCTCCTACAACTATCCTATCCAACTATCTATATATCTATGCAAGTTTATGTTACATCGAATGCTTTATCTAGTATCCCTTAAGTAAGCAAAGGCCTAACGTAAATTATTGTTTAAACTGGCGCCGAACGCAACACTCTAAATACGAAGCATATTTAAATTATATTAAATTATTGAACCAAACCAAGCACATCCATACACACACACACATACAATCATTGTACACACACTAGCGCAAGCGAATAAATATATAGAAAACTCATTTGCAAAATCTGCTTTCAAACTCATCTCATATTCATAGTTACGACATAAGCGAATAAATTAAACAATGAACAACCAGAAGCAACAGTTAAATCGAAGGAATCAAAACTAGTGAGAAGTCAGAAGGAGAAGCAACTAAAAGATAAAGCAAGAGATTGAAGAAATTCCCAAAAATACACCCCCACACACATACACTCATGCACATTTTATATGTACTAGTGAATAAACAAATTAATAAATAAATGTAGCGCAACGAATAACTAAATGTAAAACCAATCGTATTTCAATTACATTTTAGTAATTATTATGATGTATTATTATTTTTATGTGCACACACAAACACACACACATCGGTGACAGTTGTTGTTGCGAACTCGTCACACCTCGCCCCTCCTCCATAAACACACATAGATCCTTTTGCAGAAAGCCACAGATATATATTGATATTGACTTGAGAGCCGCGTAGAGAATCAGTGCCTTCGACTTAGACTTGAATTGTAAACCAAAAGCTAAGCATTACGAATCATACGAAATTATTGTAAATAGAGAACCTTGAGCAGCAACCGTCACTAAACCGAACATACATTTATTGTTACCACTTTGCCGTCTGTTAAACTTGCCTTACCGATGATGATGATGTTGACAATTGACAGGAGGTCCTTACTCATACTCAAATCCGTCACAAACTACACAGAACTACAGAAACTCTAACCAACACATCACCCTAGTGGATAAGCTACAGTGCTAATGTCTGTTTTTTTAAGCATAATTCTAATTACCTAGCTTGTATCTTGTGTAAATTAGCGTTTAACCAAATTTTAAGTAGGCTATTTTGATAAACTCCCTGATTTGGCCACACACTCATACACATCCCACATTGCATCACGCCCCCACATACACACACTAAGCACACAAGCAAAAGGCTAACTCATGCTAAGCTCGAAATCGGACTAGAAATTGTATTTACAGCGAGCGTAAAATAAGAGAACGAAAATTTATAGTTAATAAACAAAAAATAAAGAATCAAAAACAGATATTGAAAACTCCTTGACTTTTGTTTGTTCATTTTCATACCTTAACAAAGAACTATATCTATGGCGAAAATCCAAAATTGTGTTTATCTTATGAAATTAACTTGAAAACTGTTGCAACACACAGTGACACGAGTACATATTCTAAACTCTAACTGAGAACAACTTATGTATGGAAATTTTGAATGCAACTTTGCCTCAACTTATTATAGTTAGATACTCGCTAACAAATTGAAAAGATAAAGGCCTGCAACTATATTAACGAATAATAACTATGAATACCAACAAAATTTACACACTCAAGAAATGAATTAAATAAAGATTTACATTAAATGTACAAGTTAATAATGTGTTTTTGTTAAGTAAGGGGCTTCCACGGAGAAATGTTTATTTATCACGCTTAAAAACCATATCGTAAATATAGTTTAGTTTGAAACATGTATCGAAACAAGAAATATCGACGAAACAGCATTTGATATTGGTAAATAATAACAGGAAATATATTGAACCGATATATTACAAATAAATAGCTACATTTATACATTATATATATTCCTGATCCGCATCAACAGCCGAGTTGATCCAGCCATCTTAAGCAGTAATCAAAATTTAACAATATTTACAAAATTTTAAAAGGGGATAAAATGGTCGTTATAATGGTCAAAAATTGTAAAGTTTTAAAATCATAAATGGAGTATTAAGATTTATTAATCTAATAAAGCCTAACATTAAAATTAAATTAATTCAAATTTATGCTCTTTTGGCATAGTTATGATTCATATAATAATACCGATATATCGATTCAAAATATGCGAATATTTAAGCTTACTAAAGACAGATTTATGGTTAGATTTTAAAATTAATTTTAAAACTACAAGGGTATATAAACTTGTGTTGTCCGAAAATAGTTTCCTTTATTTTTGACTACTTTTAAATTATTACCATTACCACCATAATATTTTTATGACAAATGTTTTTTGCTATACTTTTATAGTATAGGCTTAAAATGATTTTTTATTTTATTTCTTTTTAGATGCCTTGTTATTAGCTTTATAAATAAATGTTTCAATGTAAAGGCATATTATATTTTTTCTGGAATATGCTTTTTTTTTAAATCCAACATTTAAGTTCATAATTTGCCTGCTTGATTGTTACTTCTCTTATAATTTTTAGGCTTTATTAAATGCAATTCTAAATGGAATTTACATAACTTCATGGAATCCTTTCATAAGACTCAAAAGCCGCAAAGTATGCTGCGCGTTATTGCTGCACTTTTTCATTGCCTACATTCCTGCTTGCCATACAAAATGGCTTCCCGTCCTCTGAATAATAATGGCGTATTTTTCAGAGCGCCGGATGCCATTGGCAACCTGTTGCAAGCACTAGACACTAGCCCCAGCCCCTCCCCCTCCTCCTTCTACTACTCCTTTTTGCGCAAAGTCAAAGTGCAAAGCTCAACGTTTAGTGAGTGTGTGCTTAGCCTTCCGCCTGTGACACTGCGTAATCCCAGTGAAAGCTCTCGGGCGGAACCAGAACTCATTAAAGCGGCATTAGCATGCAGCTCGCCTGGGAGGACGGGTGATCAAATTAATTCGCTTAGCCAACTGCGACGCCTAGGCATGTGCACGGTCATTGCCTAGGTCTCGCGGATAGAGAGAGAGAGAGAGAGAGAGAGAGAGAGCGTGGGCTCTGGGAGGTCCTTTTCCAGTGCATCGGCATTCGCCGCCACCTGGAAGCGGACACTCGGGGCGGAGCAGTGCCGCCAACGTCGGCAACAGGCTGTTGCGGAGCAGCTTTTCCGCTTTTCCGGCGCAGGCGCCGCTCTGACACACTAACACAGAGGCAACGGACAGGCGCAGTTGGGCCACGCAACTCAAAACACTGAAGCTGCGGCGGGTGGAGGAGTGATTCCTCGGCTCTGGCCACGAAAGTGAAAGCTGCGACTTTCAAACTGTTGCGCCCAGGCTCGGAATTTGGAACAAAATCAATAGCCATAAAGTTTGGCCAGCGCAAACAGCTGTCAACCTACGTCAAAACGGGCCAAAGGAGTGGGGAATGGCGACTCCTCATTGTTGTTGCTCGCGGGCAGCTTTCGGTAGGGATTAGCTTCGACTCTGGGCTATATATTTTTCTTGTTTGCTTAGTTTCCTGTCGATACCCTGTAAACTGGAGTTGGTAGAAGAACTCTTATCTCGGATTGTCAACAACGAGTCTGATATCTCTGACGGTTGCAGAAGTAAAACACCAATCATGAAGCCCGAAGCACAGCAGAGTTCAAGAGAATAGTATAGAAATAGTATTGAACATATTTTATATATTATTCGAATAATTTCTTATTTTATCATTTCTTGGCACCAGTATTTTCGATCGCTATCAAAAAAAGTCTGAAATTAAATATGTTAGATCAACAATTTATTGTAAAACGGCTTAATATGTAAAATAATGAATATAGGAAAATACACAATTTTAATTTAATTTTGAATTTTCAAATAATTTCTATCCTATTCTTTAACATAAAATTTTACAATAACTTTTGGAAAAGCAACATTTTGAAAAGCAAGTTATTAATATTTAAAGAAAGAAAGTATTTTAATAATCAAATTAAAATGTATCAAATAAAGATTCGGGATTAGACCCATCTCTCCCTTTTTGATGGCTTTAATTTCGTCCGCATCTGTAGTCGGGCGAAAGCATGGTCGGGAAAGCTTTGTGGAGCTTTATGTTAATAGTGCGTGTGCCTAACCTACACCCTCACACACAAAAACACTCACTCACACACAGGCACTTGTCCGTGGGCCGTAAGCGAAATGCGTAGGAATTTCGGGTGCCTCTTTTGTTGTGTGCGACTCGGCGGCTGGTATATGTGAGTGTGCGTCTATGTCTGTGTAAGAGCCGACCGCGAGGCAAAGCTGCCGATGAACGGCGAGGAACGCCTCAGTAGGACAGGCAGTCCTTCGGCTGACGGTCAACGCGAAAAGCCACAAAAGAGCAGTAGCAGCAGCAGGGATTTGGGTATCCATTTTGGCACCAACGAAACAAAAAAAAAAAAAAAAACATACAGAATCATACAATCAAAAACCAAAAAGTAAGGCCATTAGCAATTGTTATTCAATTAAATAACATATTTGTCGCAACAAATATGGCGTCGGAAAGCTCGTGTGTGTTTTATTTACGTGACTGAAGCTGAAAGCGAAATGAAAATTTGACACTGAACTTCATCAAGTGTGTGTGTGCGAGTGTGCGGGTGTGCGAGAGTGCGGGTGTGCGGGTGTGCGAGTGTGTCTGCGTATTGTGCGAGGAACAAAAGCAGTTAGCTCAAGTGACAAGACAGCCTAGAAGTATGCTACGCAAAATGTCAGCCAGCCATATGCTGGTAATGTCGCTGCTCTGTTTTTGCCCCGTTTCCCGCTAGCTTTCCTCCGACTTTTCCACCCATTTCCCAGCCTTTTATAGCTGCTCTCTTGGCTATTTCTGTTTTTCGTGTTTTGTGCACGCGCCCACAATTAACACAAGAGTGAAAACAAGGCCTACGAAACTAAAAACAAGGCATCTTCCGGGGACAAGAGAGGGTCCTGTCCGTGTCCCTGTCCTTAGCTATTGCGTAGTTAGCTTGTCCCCCACAGGCGTGGGTTAAATGATGTTCAACATTTTCTTTCTGTAGAGAAACATTGAAACATGTGGGCCAGAACAGAACAGGCAATATCAACAGCGAGGCGGCAATTAGACGCCAGTTGGCCACAAATAATCGGACGTCATCGGTGCGCCTGCGAACACCTGCAAATACAACACCCACACACTGGGAGACCAGCACCTACACACTCGCACGTAGCCGGTGCTCTTGGAAGCTCTCTGTCACTCGCTCGCTCGCTCTCTCTGGCTCCCGCTCTTGGCCAACTCTCATTTTAACGTCTTCGAGGCAAAGCGGGTTCTGGCTTTCGGTTTCGGTTTCGCCTTTGGCTTCAGGCTGCTGTCGTCAGTCGCTGACGTTGTTTGCGTCAAAAAGAAGTGCTGCCAGCGACGCGATTGGGGCTATATACCCGGGCACATACTTTGTACATAGCAAATTAATCAAAATTTCTACGATTTAGGAGCAACCACAATCAACGGGAACAACAAAAACAGCAGCAGAAGCAGCAGCAGGAACGGCAATAGAAGCAACAATAAGTGAAGGCGACTGAAGCGGCAAACTGGAAACGAAAGCAGAGCATTATTACCCTTAAACATTCCACAACAATTTGCATGTCTTCGTTCATTTGCGCTGAATATGAAATAAACAAATACATGAGCCACGCCATAAATGTCAAACTGAGGTAAGTCCCCATGCATCCTTCTATATTTAGTGTGCAGTGTGTGGGTGTGTGTGTGTGTGTTTGGCTTTGTTTAGTGTTTGTTAAAGCAGTCCGGAGCTGGCTAAGTGATTTGACCTTTTGGCAACAGGTGTGAGCGGCACCCAACCCTCATCACCTGCCCCCGAGCCGCCCTCGAAAGTAGGCAATGCAACGGCAAGCAAGCCATCAATTAATGGCGCGTGTTCCTCCTTAATTGCGAAACTCCCTTCAAGGGCTATGCTAAATATTTAATTAAATGCCATTCTCATCCTGGGACAACCGATGGGGAAAATCGTTTAGCGTGAGCCTTGCATTCCGTGGGGAAACGTAGGAAATGATGACGTGGGTGTTTTAGTAGACTTAATAGATTTAGTAATATATAAGAGTCACTCATAGTTGATGGCAGTTAAAGAGGCATTTAAATACTCGTGGTTAATATATATCATTGGGGGGCTACAGAAATTACTAGAAATCTTTCAAAAATGTGTCTATAAGATCTCAAAAACAATGCAAATAAAGTCTTTATTACGATTCAACTTCTTATAGAACAGATTTGGGTAGATCTTATAGGATTTAGGATATTTTTAGCCTAACCGATACTGATATATAGAATATAACGTAGATAACGTATGTTTTGTGGTCGTGGTATAAAGTATTGAAGATGCGTAATTAATAATACTAGTTAAAAGATTTTGGCCTATCAGAGTCTTTTCTTAAATAAACTTATAATATATTTGTTTTAGTATATTATTTATTATAGAAATTTCTTAAATAATCCCAAAGAAACAAACAAATTTAAATTTAAAATTTTTAAATAAAATTTAAAGCTGAAAAACCTTGGTCAAAGTTTAAACTATACATTTGTACTGGTTATTACCAAATGGTTAATGGTAAAGTCCGAAACTCTTGTTGTGCTCTCCTTTAATACTTTGTAAAAGCTACAAATTTAATATTAAATTCGGCCTATAACTATTTAATTAAGTAAATACTTTTATTATAAATGTATGAAAACGCTGATTAGGATATTTTTTTTAAAGTTCGATTTTGAAGTGTTTTGTAATGGACCAATTAGTTTGTCCATAACATAGAGAAACCGATAGATATAGAGACCCATACAGGGATAACCACCCTCGATAGCGTATTAATGACGGGAAAATATAAGAGCCCATAAATGGGATTAACACCCTTGTTGCAGAGGCAGCTTTATCGCAGGTTATGGCCATGCAATCCCTTTACGACTTTGCTTGTCGAGGGCAACTTGTTGTTCGCCTGTTCTCAGGCTGCAGGACATGTGACTCAACGCGATTGTGTTTCGAGCACGGATGTCAGCTGCGGTTGCCATGGTCGTCATCCTTCGAACGGAACTCGAAGGGCCCACGGACTCATTCATCAATGACGACCCGCTGGGCGTGGGCTTTGTGTCGGCTTCAGTGCGACTGATTGAATGCTGTTGACACTACTGTCCCGAAGCATATGCGACTGGAACAGGAACAGGATCAGGTCCGAAACAGGATGAGGCTGGGGCCACACAGCCACAAGTGCGTTAAATTTAGCCCCGGACCGGACTTTGGCTATAAATGTCGCACAATGGCTCGCAGTTTGATTAAGAGTTGCGTAAACAACCAGAAGCGGTGGGCTGTAGGCGTAGCTCAGGGGATCCGGGGGTGATACTAAAAATGAAACGAAAATATTTTCGCGTAAACATAAACAAGTCGGCATATAAAAATGAAATTCATAATGTCGAGCGCTCATAAAGCGCAGAGATACAAATGCTGGCGATGCCGCATCCTGAAAGCGAAACTTACGACGCCACTTTAGTTTTAATACTAAACCAACACAGTTCCCGAACAGAAGGACAGAAGGATCCAGGAGCCGTAACAGTTAAACATGCATGAATATAACATCATATTTTGATGGCCTGTAAAAACAAAGTCTAGGCAATTGCACAAATATTTTGGAGCGGGCCTGACCGGGCAAACAAGCAAACAAGTTTCCGTTCTGTTGGCATAACAAAGATTGATGGCGGCTGAAAGTGAATTAAATTTGCTTTAACTTGGCCCAGAATATTAAATTTGTTTCAGAGACAGAGAAAGCAAGAGAAAGAAAGTTCTTGGTCCTGGATTTAAAATTAAAATTGATTTGAGACCTTTTAAGTATAAATATCAATGTATTGTAAGATTGCGCAAAGGTCACGCATTAAATATTAAATTAAGAGAAGTTTCAGGGAATAAACAGAACTGTATATTTATTTTATCTGAAAGATTAAATGTGACATGCATATTTTTAAAGGATAATGTGCTTTAAGAGAATATTAAAACCTCTAGAACCCCTTAATAACCTTCTTCAATCTGCTCTTTTTAAGGATTTATTTAAGCATTCTACAAGTTAACGCATAATTTTAAAGCTTCTCCCTACATGCTTAAATTTCTATCTTAAATATCCTTTGAAATTCCATTCAACCATTGAATACTGAATACTGGCTGTTTTGAATAGAATTATACCCTCATCAACTTTGTGCTCATTGCGAATAATAACTTGAAAGTATATGGAGCAACTTAATCAGCTTTTGGAATCTATTTATATCCCTTTTAATTGCAAATGAGCCTCCATCTGGGACCCCAGGCGAGGCTGATCAAAAGAAAACGCAGATTAGCTCTACCTTTTTTTTGTACGTATTCGTAATATAAATATATTACCGTAGCATCGTTTAATTAGCTGCTCCGACCTTGTCTTGTGTAATCACTCACCGTAACGGTAAGCCAGTGCAGTGCCAACCGGGTTCGTGTTAACCCCCGATAACCTGACCTCATCCATTCTCTGTTTGCGGGATTATTAATGAAAGGAATAGAACGGGGAATGGGAATCCTGGCGAAGTGGGCGGGTATGCCGATTGGCAACAGCTGTCGGGGCAAAAGCTGAATGCAATTAATTTTAAACTGAACAAATATTAATCATAATTCCATACTGGAGCCACTGGAGCACAGCGCCCCAGTTAGACGATATCCTTGCAAAGGCAAAGGCAAACACACACATCCATGACATCAGAGGGCGGGGAGGACAATGGCGTCATATGGACAAATGTCTGTATTACAAACCCCAGACTACGTCGTCTACGACAATGGCAATCCATTTACTTAATGAGATCGCAAGCATTTTGGTGACATTGAAAACGAGTTTATTAGGGTTAACCCACGACCCGTCTCGAAGGGTGCAACGTCCCATATTTTCCATTGGGGCAGGAGTTCCATGTAACAAATGCTTAAGTGAGCCAAGTTCATTCATAAAAGGCGCTGCGTCAGGCAACAGCCGAAAATGGCTGGAAATGGGCGAGGGGCGGAGCGAAGGCAGTGGGAAAAATCAATGGTGGCAACCCTGGCCACACACCCACCGCGCTATAAATATCACACTAAATGCGAGCACAGATATCAAGTTATAAAAATTTCGACACAATTTCGGTGGGGCAGTTGCGGTTGGTCGTGAGCTAAGCTCCAGAACTGACTTGGCACTTTGTTAAACAGACGGAAAGTAGCCCACACACATAAAATGGAAAGCGTCTTCAAACGAAAATGAAAGCAAATTTTTGGGCAACAACAGTCGGTCCTCCCTACAAGACAAAAGACGTTACATTTTTTTATGATCATTTCTGATTGAAGTTAAAATTGTATTTAAAAAAGGAAATAATTATTTTGAAGTTTGGACAAATTTATGAATATACATAAAAATTTAATAAATACAAGGAATCTATCAGAAATCATTTAGAACTATTCAAAGGGAAAATATGTTAAAACTTGGCTTAATTTGTTTCTAAAACCATACAAAAATTTATACAAATATACTTCAATCTAGATTGAAGAGTAGTTTTTAAAAATCTACTCTTCTTAATTTTTGGAAAAAATGTTTAACCATTTCCAAAATTTTAAGTAAGTTAAGTAAGATGCACCTTTTAGCTGAAAGTTCTCGGTTTAGATTCAAAAACATTTTCTAAATCTCCAGGACTGGTTGAAATTTGAGCTAAGGAACCTCCACTGTACAGAACGGAGGGATGGGTGAATCACGTTGAGCTTTCGCGCTGTTGCTATTTTTGGCTGTTGAGCGCAGCAGGAGGACGTGCAAGGGAGAAAGAAGCTTCTCGATTGCTCTTGCTCCTCCGTATCCATTGTTCCTCGTCCAACTCGGGCCCTTCGTTCGTAGGTACCGCCTTCGCGGAAAGCTTCTTGCGTGCGCGGAAAAGCTTTTGCGTGGGCGACATCGCTGGCAGCGCTGCCAACGCAACAGGAGGAGGAGCAGCTGCAGAAGCAGGAGTCGAGCAGCAGCTGGCGAAGCAACAGCAAAAGCTTGGCGCGCCAAGCTTTCCGCCACTTCCCCAGGCCAGCGTCGGCGTTTCGGTTCCAGGGCCTGGAACGGCGGCAACTGGAAGCGCTCCTCGGTCGCCACTCGGCGGCTGTCGGCGCTGCTCGGGCGCTGTTGCCGTGCGCTACCTGATGCTCGACGGGAGCTGCGAGTCCGCCCTGCCGTCAGTTCAACCTGGGGAGCGTAGCGCAGCGAACGCTGGGCAAGTGTTGAGCGGTTAAATAAGAAAAGTGCCCGCCTACAACAAGTAGGCGGAAGTCCCAGCCAGTGTTCTGCGCCAGCTACTTCGTCGTCCAAAGACCGAGTGCCGCCCCAAACCGTCCGAGGAGAGCTCCTCCTGCCATCGCCCATCGCCGTCCTGGCCTCCTGTTCTGCTCCCGATAAGCGTGTAAGCCTAACATATGGCATCCAGCGTCGATGCCAGCCGTCGGCACTTCTTGTGGTGAGTCGCGGGCTTGATTCCCAGCAATGGGTTAGTGAATCCTTTCTAGCTAAATGCAACATCTAACACCTAGCTTTGCTATTGTTTACTATAAAAGCGAACCTAAACATTTAGTTTCGGAATTAAGTTTGAGCTCATTCTTTACATTTTTCCTTAAAAGAAAATTATAATTGTATTGAAAAGTGCATTACGTATACTTAATATTTTGCGTATACGTAATATTTAGCGTATACTTAATATTTGCCATGACATTACTTTAAAGCAAAAGATTTATTATCCTGTCAATAGTCTGTAAAAAAGACCCAAACATAGGTAATAAAAAATTATTTACACGAATATTTAAATTAATTTATATTTAAATATTTAAAAAAAGATTTTAGTAATGAGATGAATTTCTAAGGTAACAAAACTTTTTAGTCAACTTTAGCATTTTGCAATATAAAGAAAATACCTTCATATAGTTTTCGTAATTTAATATTGTATAAATCTATTTATTTTGATTGGATATTAAAAATTATATTTATTTCCTTGATCTTTGTAAAGCCAATATAAAATTAAAATCTCTTATTATTTTGATGAAATATTTTTAAATCCTAAAAAAGAACAAAATAAATACAAGAGGAATGTTTTATTAGAAGATAAATTTAGCCATATATATGTATACATATAGGGTAGGGTTATGAATCAACCTAAATGCTGATAATTAAATTTACATCATATGGGCATAATTTGCAAGAATATCACCAAAAAATACGATGACAGGGGACATAATGCAATTTAGTGTCAAATTGATATTGATAAGCCATAATATTAACGTGGTCAACTAAATGGAAATTAGTATCTGTCATCTGAAAAACAGGCTGCAGGTCATAAGTGCTAAACCTGAGATGCCCAAAAAAGTAGGCTACGAAATGCAATCACTATATATTGAAGGACAACCTGGAATTGTACTCTTTCCCGTGTGACTTAACTAAAAAATAACTCACAGCTATAAGATTTCAATTATAAAATGTAAATGAATCCCATTTATTTTCATGACAATTCCTGTCGAATCATTGGCATTTGGCAAATTATTATGAGATTGTTCAATGAAATGAAAGGCCATTTTCCATATCAGGTGTCATAGAGGCAACACAAAAAGTCACTTAATTAGGGAAATATATACATATAACTTATCAAAGTGGAAAAGCCTATTATCAGTTTCCCGTTAAATATATAGTTTCTTGTGAAAGGGTTGATATCCGCACACGACCGGGGAAAATGTGTATTTGATAGCAACGGAAACTGCAGCGATATGGATTTCACAGGGCTTGGAGTGCGAACTGCGCAATTTGTTTTTCCTCAAATTGACTGCCTTACTGCCTCACCCCCAATCGTGCACTTTAACAATATTATCAGTTCCCTGGAAATTCAGTGCAACGTGTGCTGGCTGGTTCATTATCCATGGCCTTCGCTGCTGCTTTCACCAGCTGCATTTATTAAGCGCCATCTGAATAAAATAGTGCACATAAATTCCATCCAACGGAAGTGCTCATGAGCTGCGAGAATTCCTCCCGCATGCAGTTTCGCTCCCAGAAAGCAGAAAGCAAAAAGCAGAAAGCAAAGTTTCCTTTCCCCTGGAATATAATCAGCTTTGGCAGTCTCCTTACCAAATAGGGTTCCAAGAGGGTTCCTGCACTCTGCCATGGCCAAATACCATGAAAATTCCCCTGGTAGCTTATAATTGCTGTGATGCAGTAATGGGGGAGCAAAAAGGTTCGCAGGGCGACTGTGGAATGCTAAAAGTTTTCGGGTTGAAATGAAAAACAATTTGCCAAAGGAAAAGCAATTTGCTTTACATGGGCAAAGAGGACGATAAAGCTTGTAAAACAACCTATCTGATGTACCTGACTCGCAGAAAGAATACTTGCAATTGTTTAGATACAAGCAGCAATTAAATACATAAAATATACATATTTGTCATAAAACAATCGTAAGGTGAAACTGATATAAAGCACTCACAGAATTGTAAGGGTGATAAAGTAATAAAACAAGAAATGTTTCCAAGTTTTATACAGGTTTACATATACATATATCCGAGGGGATTTCATTGCGATTTCAAATAAAAATCCATTATTTGCACAACAATAATTAATTAAATGACAGCGAAGGGAAAGATGACACAATGGCAATCTCGAAAGATTTGTCCTCGAGCCCTGTAAACAATCATTTTGTTCGCTTTGGCCGTAAGTCATAATTGAAACCACTTAGCTGAATAATTCCACGCTGATTCCCCTAACCCGACCAAATTGTTGAATTATCCAGGCCCTTCGCTTTCATAATTGTCCTGCCACTCTCAGCTGGAGCCAGGTCCTTGGCACCACCCCTCGACATATTCCACACCCACTTTAAATTGCCGAATCCAGCTGGAAAGTTTATCTAATTGCTTTTGCCATTGTTAGTGGGATGGATGTAGGATGCAGGGTCCTTTGCAGAGGCGACGGAAATCCCTTCTCACGCTGGGCTGGCCAAAAAAAGGAATTATGAATTGTGTATTTTGCGGATGGCGAATTGTACACATTGTGCGCGGGCGGAAACGAAGTCAGGATGAAAGCGATTTGTTATCCTTTAGCTTGTGCGGGGGCATCAATTACACAAAGGCCGGGAAACTGGAGCCTGTCGAGCCCTTAAATCACCTGCCAGGAAGCGCCTTTCTCTGCCTTCTCGGCCGGGGCCCAGGTGCTCGATATTCACAATAATAGAACCCCAAGGAGTCCCAAAGAGCTCTAAAGTGCAGGCAAACACACCTGTACGGTCCGATCCGAACGAGAAGCAGCCCCTTGAATCCAACCCAGGGCAAACACGCGTCAAATCAAATGGCAAAAAGCCATTGCCAACACTTCAAGCCCCACCGAAAACTGAGTGGGTGTGGGGTAGGTGAAGCAGCATTCGACATTTAACCCGACAGATGGAAATGGATACGGAAAAGCCAGCTGGGGAGCGAAGCAGTGGCAGTGGCAGGAGCAGGGGCAGGCACACGCTGCCACATCATCGGCGTCATGATTAGCTCAGCAGTATATACAACGCGTTGCCGGCTCCCAAAGTGATGAACTGTGCCAGTGGGAGCCACTGAAGCGTGCTCGCAAGTGCAGAGTAACCCCAGGAATCCCAGTCCTAAGCCCCAGTCCAAACTGGTTCCTCATGCTCAGACGCACACGGACGAGCTGACAGGCGGAAGGACAATGGTAAAGACAAATCTTGCAGATTTTGGTCAAGAAATGCGCAACGAAATGTGAAACCCAAATCAACTTGAAAGTGAATGAAAAACCACGAAAAGGAAAACTTTTCAGGCGGCAGACAGTAGGCCAAACGTTGGCCGCAAAACCAAAGGAAAAGTTCATCAGAGCGAAGGCCAGAAGCGGATACCCAACATCGTTTTATGCCTAAGAAAAAAATCTTTCTAAAACCAGAAGGCACAGAAGGTGGCATTCAGATTGTGGCGAGTCTGTTATCCTGCACGGCGAGAAACTACATAGGATATATGAATTTAAATAATATTATTACCAGTATTCATGAGAGTTCATAGAGATAGAGATAGATCATAGAGAAATATAAAACCCGGAAACATTTAAAATATCTTAGAAGTAAGACACAGACATTTGTCAAATATTTTAACGTGTAGCACAAAAAGCTTTTTTAAAGAGAAAGTCTTTCCTCTTGGTAGTTGCTGAATCCTAGACTTAAGTGAAGCTATTAAGCATTTTACAACTTTCGAATTCGTTGCCGGATTTTCCGGGATTCCGGCCATAACAAGAGTGCTGCTGGTCAACACACAGGAGGTAAACTGGCCGAAAGTACTTTAAAGTGCCATTGCGATAGGACGAGCTCGACTTGCACAGTCTGTCGACTGATTTGTATTTCGGCAGCATCTTCAATTTTGCTGATTAAAGAGGCAAACCAACTTAATCAATTTCCGGCGCAAGTTCTAGGAGAAGAAGGATCTGCGCTCCAAGAAGTCCCACCAATCCCCAAAAAACTTTCCACTCAAACCGACACGCGCGAACATTTTCCAAGCAGCAGGCATACAAAGTTTCCATTTCCACTTTTCCTGGGCGAAGTGCGAAAAGGGAAAGCGAATGGGGAACGGCGAAAAGCGGGCACGTGCCCAGCCACACGGACTGCTGAGCGCCCACAATGCAAAACTAAAGCCTTTTTTACGGCTGCTGACGACAGCTGCAAATTAAATAAAATTAAACCCCACAGTTGGAGCTGGCAATTTATTAGCTAGCTTTACCCCCTGTCCCCTCTGTCGTCCTGGCCAAGGGAAATGTCAAGCAATTTTAATTGAGTGAATACCCACGGAACAGGACTTATGAATCCCTGTCATCCACCGGCAGGAAGACCTGTCAGTCTCTTTCAGGAGCAAAGCTAAAAATGCAATCATGGCGTTGTCAAAAAACTTGCCAAGAAAAGGGAGCACATAAAACTGCACAGGATGGAGTACGCAGGACACTGTGCAACCACGCAGATGAGACTAAGTGAAGAATAAACAAAAGTGCAGCGTCAGCGGGACAAAAGGAGAAGCGATTAAATTTTACACCCACAAAGAAAATGGCAAAAGAATGACAACAGTACCTGAAAGGAAAATTGGCAACTCCGCTGGCTGATGGAAACGCAAATAGAAAGGAAATAGCCCAGGGAAGGCTTCAATGGGAAAATGGGTTTTTATACGTTTTTCGACCTTCTTCTGAATGAGTTCCTCTCTTCATCAAATGAGTTAAAATTTAAATAGAGTTCAGATAGCATGAACATTATTATACTGCCAAAGGAATAATTAAAGCAGGAAATGTTAAACTCCCCATTAACAGCTCTATGGGGAATTTCCTCTTAGCAACAGGAAATGCGTTCCCTTTCCTGTGAAACTCCCACTCTATTGTATAAAAGAAAAAAAATCAACTGGTTATATCAAAATGAGAAAAGTATTTTACATACCATATATTCAGTTTCCCGGAAGTTGTCGA